GGCGGCGCGAGGGGCGGCGGGGGCGATGCGCAGCAGCCACCAGGGGAGGGATGACGGAGGTCTGGTGGCCGTGGCCCTGAGGCGGGCTCGCAGGGGGGTAGCGCAGCTAGACCAGGCGCCAGGGCGTTATGCTGCCCTGGCAGGGGGGCATGAGGGGATCGTACAGGCGTAAAGGATGTGACGGGGAGTGCTACGGGGGGTCAGTCTGTGGGCAGGCCCCTAATGCCCACCTTCTCTCTTACCTGCAGTTGACCCCAATAAGGAGCGGCGAGAGGCTGTGAAACGGAAGATAACGCAGTATCTGAAGCGTGCAGAGGAGATCTTCAACTGCCACCTCCAGCGAACTTTGGGGAACGGCAGCCCCACAGCCACGGTGAGGAGCTGGGGCGGGATGTGGCCTCTGGGTCTGTCGCCTCTGAAGGCCAAACGCTTGGGATTGACTTGGCCAAATCCTGAGGAGGAAACCTGACCAGCACACACACTGGTGCTGGCTGAGCCCAGAGAGTAAACCTGAGTATGCGTCCATCATGAGTGGTGGGGTGAGGCAAGGGCTTGGGGTGACAAATGTGGCATTCTGAGCCCAAGGAATATGGAATCGCTGGGACGTTATAGCGATGGCTCCTTGGTACAGAGAAACCTGGTGGTAAGGAACACCAAAGAGGGGCGCCTCAGTATGATAACACATCCATGCTGAGCCTTCTCAACCACCTGTGTACAAATGGCCAGATGCCATGGTCAGGTGTTGTGGAGAAAATGACAGATGTCAGCTGTAGAGTGTCACTGGCCTCCTGAGGGATCCTTGTGGCAGCCTTTTTCCCTACCTGGAGTGAAGGGTTGAGCTGTGCTCTGCTTGCCTGGGGTGTTTCCAAGACTCTTGCAAGGTGTAGTATTTAGCTTTTTATCATCATTCTTAATAGCAAAAATGGACGTGTTCGATGGGATGGAAGCCAACAGGGCAACCATCTTATTAGATGTTAAGAGTGGTTTCTTCCTCTCATTTTTCCCATATGAATGGAAACCAAGCTGTGTTCAGCAAAGATAACTGCAGCTCACATGCCATTGTGGAACCAGATGGGGAAAGAAGGGACAGAAGAGTGGCATAGGACAGGGTAAGGGCCTGAGGGAGAACTGATGAGGAGGGTGATGGGAGAATGGCAACTGCCTTACAGATTTTTCTTAGTGTTAGGGCAAACCAGTTCCAGGTGTGCATTTAGGTGTGATTTTTACATCTACTGGAGGTGAAGGCTTCCCCTGAAAGCTTCAGAAATCCAGTAGCTGGCCAAAGAAACAGTCTCATTGATGTTACTCATCAGCTATGGCCACTGAAGTCTTATCTCTGGCTTTTCGACCTCTTCAGTCCGGTGGTACTGCTGCTACCTGTGGAATATATGGGGACCCCTCCCACCTTCCCAGGGGATGCCTAGCATGTCCAGGTCCCTCATTCTTTTTTCTCACTGTCTTGCAGGGTTACAGCAGCCTTCGCTTCCGGCCAATCAGGACGCTAAGCTCGGCAGTGGAGAACCTAAGACGGTGTAAGGTTGTGGGAGTGATTGATAAGGTAATGACTGTGTCTGGAACTGGGAGGGGGTGAGGCTGGGGCTGGGCCAAGCCAAGTGTAACCTGGAAGGGAAGGTCTTACCAGCTGGAATGCAGGTAACTGCTCTTGGTGCACTCACCGAGAGTTTTCATCCAAATCATTCCCACTAAGGAGTTTCCTCAGGGGAGGGTAGGAATCCCTTTGTCAGATGAGAAGTCTGTTAATGTCCCCATTACTTGTAATTGCCAAAGCTCCCAAGATGTTGGCAAGGAAGTGGGCATTTCCATTTCTTTCCAGTGTAGGGAATCAATCTTGATGCCTAGGTATTGTGATGGTGGATTCCTACAGATAGTCTAGACTTCTGCAGAAGACAAACTTTCTGGATGAATAAACTAGTTAATAGTTAATGATCTTGGAGTGAAGATGCCAGGCTTACCATCTTCATGCATGCACTGGCACATTGTTCCCTTCTGCCCATCACACATCCCAGTTTGTCGGGACTAAAGTGTTTCTCACAACCTGCTGTGGTTCAGGTGGGCAACCTAGCACAGCAGACAGAACCCAGAAAGAGCAATGCAAATGCTACTTTGGTGAAGGGAGCTAAGTGGTGTAATAGTCACCCCTGTCTCCTTGTCTATCTCAGCAGTAATAACCATGTTTGGTATTTGAAGAATAGGAGTTTGAGTAACACAAACTCTGGTAGTTGAGTTCATTTTAGCTGCAGAGTCCCTTGGGATATTCCTGTAGGCTGTGAGTTGGGATGGGAGCAGTTACCGCTTTTGATGTGTTCTGTGTGTACTGCTCACAGGTGCAGATAGTCCAGGATTCAGCCACTGGTGGGACCTTTATACTTAAGGTGGGTGTTGCCAGCTTCACAGCTTCATCCTCTTTGGGTGACCTTGGGGAGGAGATAACTTTTAGCCAATATGGCTGAGTGGGAAATGCTCCTTAGCTCCTTTTAGATGCAGCTCAGCAAAGGGAAGCTTTATGGACATTGAACTTCCTCTAAAACCTCTGTCATCTGCTATTTTTTTGTTCACTTACTTCCCTCAGCCATCTTCTGTGATCAGAAGGGAAGTGGCTCCCCTTCCTCCCTTCAAGCCTGAACAGTGTTTCTTCTGTTCATCTGGTGGGCCTCAGCTTTGTAATGGTGCCTGCCAGACCATACGCCCATGTTGGTCTGAGCCCACCATGAAATAGACGGTGGATTATGTGGGGTGGTGGGTGCTCAGTACAAGTCCTAGGGCAGTTTCCCAGTGACCTTAGGCCAGCTGTTTGCTAGGCCAAGGACAAGGAGACCCCAGCATGACAGGGAGAAGCGTCAGTCTCAGAGGGAAAAGTAGAGAGAGCTGGAATGGCAAATTCCAGTTCGAACTTGTGTGTTGAGTTGAAGTTTGAGTTGGTGCAGTTCTGGAGGATGGCCGCTGCTCTGGAGCAGTGGTGTGACTTGCAGGTGGGGAGTGTCGTGCATTGGCAGAGCTTTGCAGAGCTCTGCATTGTCACAGCTGGGTGCTAGAGCCTGACAGCCCTAGCTGAGCACGAGCTGCAGGTTTCCTAGATGGAGAGCTCTGTTTTGAGTGACATGGGGAGGACAGCCATGGGGCTTGTCAGACGAGACTCACCAACAGGTCTTTCCAGCTGCCCCCCTGTCCTGCCAGGTGCTAGGTTCCAGGGAGTCCAAGCCCCTGCCCTGCTGCAACGCCCACCTCCTTTTACTTTCCCAGAGCCTCCCTAAATCCCATGTTGAGACTCGTGAGCGGCAGACCATCATTCCTCATGGAGTCCCCTTCATGGTCAAGCTGCTGTGCTACTATGTGAGTGAGGACTCCATCTTCCTCCACCTGGAGCATGTGCAGGGTGAGTGCTTTGTTGCACTTGCTTGCTGTCCACGCAACATCCTGCTCTCACCCTCAGCTTCCCTTTCTTTTAATCTCAAATATATTTCTCCTGCTGGTTCAGGACTGCTTTCTGTAGTGACAGCACAAGTGCTCCTCCTTAGAAAGGTGGCTGAAGACTTTGTGGAAGGAGCTGCTAAGCTTTATCAGGGATTCAGGAGTTTTGATAAGAGCTGATTGAGGAAGTAAGCTAGAAATGGAGTTATGGAGACCTAGAGGGAGAGAGAGGTTGGCGGGGGGGAGAATGTGGAAACTAGCTTTAGCCCCATTGGGCCCTGTGGGAGGGAATTATAATATAACCATGCCTTGCTGTAAGGAAGTTGATATGGTCTGGCATCTTCTGGCTTGGTCAGAGATACAATGGAAACAAACCAGCAAAGGTTTTGGAAAGAAAAACCTCTTTCTTACTGGCACAGTTTGGCTGTCACAGCCAAGGTGATGGAAAAGGAGAACCAAGTGAGGTAGTTCACTCGGACATTTTGAACAAGGCATTCATGGTAACTGGTTACAAAAGAAGAGGCCACACTGGATGTGGAGACCTCAGGGGACAAAGGGCAAGGAGAACCCAAGGGCTCAGGTACAACGTGATAGTTCCTCTGTTACCTGAGCAAGGAGGCAATCTGGGGGCTTATTGCAGATTCCAGTAAAGAAGAGTGACAAAGTGGAGGCTGGTTAGGAGTAAGGAGCTTCTTTGCTCTCTGCCAGATGAGTAGGTGGTAGGAAGCAGCAGGTGGCGTTCATTAGTGACAAACAGTCTGACGTGTGCTGGAGAACAGCCTCAGCTTCTTGTGTGTTCCTGTAGAATGAATATGCAGAAAGCAACCAGCAGGTGAGTTTAATGAGACTGCCCCTTGTGATCAGTGGGCCCACCAACTTGCGGGAAGCTCTGGCAGTGTGCTCTGGGCTCCAGGCCTCACTGCTCTGACTCATCACTGACCCGAGGGCTTTGCTCCATGCTGTAGGCTCTGTGGCAGCACTGTTGCTGGGGTGTAGGGAGGAAAGGCTTTTAGAGGAGAGTGAGGATGATTGTGGGATCAGGGGCATGTGTGAAGATGTGGTTGAGCTGTGACATGGAAATTATGCAGCTAGGATCAATAAAACTGTGCGGAAGGAATAGCATGAGGCTGCTGAAGGAGGGGGGAATGAGCTGTTTATGTGCTGGGTCACCAAGGAGCATGGAGTTGAGTGACCTGTGTTTATAGGGTTTGGGGATATCTGCATGAACTTAAGGTTTACTTCAGGAGAAATTAAGGCCTGGTCATATGTGGAGCATGTAGGCCTTGGCCTGTGCCTGAATGGGTAGTGCCTGCAGAGCGGGGAACTTGGAATGCTTTCTACTGCATCACTTTTTCTTCTTCTCACTTCCCAGGGGAGACGCTATGGTCTCATCTCCGCTCCAAGTATTGTGTCCGGCAGGGCTCCTCTGATGGCTCTGGTTCCCTGCATTCAAAGCACATTGGAACCTTGAGGGACCATGGCAGAGAGGAGGCAGTGGGAAGCTTCCGTGGGAGCAGTCGAGACCGCATCTTCTCTACTCGGACAGGCAGTGGCCTCCTGTTGGGAACCAACCGCTGCCTGTTGGGAAACACTGACTGCCCTCCCCCTTGGGAGGGATCCCCTGACAGCACAGACCCCAGACCCGAGAGTCATTGCCAGCTTCTCCTGGCTCCTGTCAGCAGCACAAAGGCTGCAGCTGGAGGGCAGGGTTTAAGTGTGGTGCAGGCTCTGCCTGGCATCATGGACCGTGTTCCAGCAGCATCAACCAAAGGCCCCTGCCACCTCAACAACCAGGGCCTGGTCCTGCAACCCTGGGACTCTCTAACCAGCAGTGAGGGTGCAGGCAGTGCATCGGAGAGAACAGCCTCCCAGCAGGATCCCAGGCCGCTTGCTGGTGAAAGGCTTCCTCAGATGCCTGCCCATATGCCAAAGACTGTGAGAGGGGACCATCCAGGAAAGGGAGAGCCTCAGTCTCGTCAGGTGTCTGAGGCCACCTGGGCTCAGCCCTTCCTGGCCTCCTCAGGACACAGGCAGCTTTGTGCAGGAATCACCCTGTACAGTTCTGGCAGGCCCTGTGGGCCTGACCGTGGGATGCAGGAGCCCTTGTGGGCAACAGGTGTGACCAGTGGTCCATTCAGAGAGCAGCCACTATCAGGATTGTGCAGGTCTCTGGCTCCCTGTGGGCATAACCAGAGAGCCTGGGCTGTGAAGGAGGAGCAGGTCCAGCTGTGGGCAGCAGAAATCCTCTTGGCCTTAGAGGGACTTCACCAACAGGGTGTATTGTGCCGGGACCTCAACCCCAGGAACCTGCTGCTTGATACAGCTGGTAGGTAGTGCCCAAGGCTGCTGCCCCCAGGGGGAGGGAGGCCTATTGGCTGGGAGACTCTTATCTGCCCCATTTCCAGGACACTTGAAGTCTCTTGAGTTTGCTTGGAGGGAGGGAGGGAGACTGGGGAGATTAGGATGTCTCTGAGCATGGAAGTGTGGTCTGGATTGGGGTTTCCAAGAGATTATTACCAGAGATGTCTCTGCAGAGGGAGAGTAAGGGCTGCAGCCACAGGAATGCGATGCTTCTGCTCCCATGTGGGGTCTGGCTGCCTAGGAGATCCCAGCACAGGGAAGCTGAGACCAGCTAAACTGTGTCTGAGGTTAGTGGGATTGCAGTTTGCCCCTGCCTGTAGTTACTGCCCCCTTGGGTGTTCCTGAGCCCATCTTTCCCCTCAAGCCATTAGTTGTCTGTGCAAGCCTCTGAGTGGGAGTCCCTGAATAGCTGGCAAGAACTGGGGCAGGCCAGAGCTTGCCCCGCAGCACGTGTGGGGGGGAAAAACCAAGAGAGCTTTGCGAGGGGGAAGCTAACCTTTCTCCCTTTGGCATTGCCTCTCCTCACTGCAGCCTGCCCCAAGGCTGTTGAGCTTGAATTTCCCTCTGACCAGGCCCACCAGCTGCATGTGCCCGCTGGACATTTGTGGCAACTGTTGGGTGGCTGTGGGGGACATGGCCACTCTGTGTCCAGGGTGTGGCAGGGGCCCAGCACCTTGGTTTTCCCCAGTGATGTCTCCTCCCAGCTGAGGGGATGTGCTTTGGGTTTGTGTTCCTGCTGGAGTCGCTAGTTTTGTGCTAACTTCCCTGCTCTTGGCTCTTGTGCTGGTCTGCAGGTCATGTCCGTCTTACCTTCTTTGGCCAGTGGACAGAGGTGGAGCCACAGTGCTGCAGCCAAGCTCTGGAGGAGCTCTACAGCGCCCCCGGTAAGGGAAGTTTGCCCTACCTTCTCCTGTCCTCTCCCCACTGCAAGTCACTTCTGTGGCTTCTGCCTGCAGTGAGACTTGCCTAGCATGGCAGTCACCGGCAGCCACAGGCCCTGGTGCCCAGGCAGTGCCCTGCCTCCAGCTCTAATTCTTCTCTGGCTCTTCCTGCAGAAGTGGGGGGCATTTCTGAGCTAACTGAAGCTGCTGACTGCTGGAGCTTTGGGTCTCTGTTGTATGAGCTGCTGACAGGAGTGGTAAGAGGCAGAGGAGCTGTGTAGTACTTGTGGGGGGGAAAGAGGTCCTGTCTGTGCAGGGGCTGGGAGGGTGAGTTCCAGTGCAGGCACATCTGCTGCGTGCCAAATTGTCTCAGGTGCGTGATTCCTGGTGCCTGGGGGTCTCGGTGCTGAGAACCTGGGATTTTAAATCCTACTGCACTGTGGTGGGGTTGTATGGTGGTGAAGTCTTAGTAGGATGTTACTACCTCAATCAGGGCCTCTGCTCACCATCATCCTCTGCCTCCTGCAGCCACTGTCCCAAAACCACCCTTCAGGGATTCAACCTCACACCCAGCTGCACCTGCCAGAAGGACTCAGCCTGGCAGCTGCATCACTGCTCACTGAGGTGAGGAGTCTAGGTGGAGGCAAGGGAGGCTGAGGAAAGGCAGGGGCCCAATCTGGGTAGCTGCTTTCCAGTGTCTCCATCTTCCCATCCTGGTGTCCTGTCCTTTTTCTCTGCAGCTCCTGCAGTATAACCCTACGCGGCGTTTGGGCTCGGGAGGAGGTGGAATTGCAAAGCTGAAGTCCCACTCCTTCTTCAGCACCATCCAGTGGAACAAGCTGGTGGGCTAGGCAGGCTGGGGGGGG